CCCTAATGCAGCTCACACCACAAGAAAACAAAAAAAAATCTGTACACAGGAACTAAAGAGAACTGCTGCCACCAAGCCAGGCTGCAACCTGCTCTTTTTCAGACTGGTTCTTCTCCTCGAACTGCTGGCTCTGGACTCCATGACCAGCATTTTCCAGTCTTGAAATTCATCTCCCAGCACTCAGAGCAGAGAGGGAAGCAAGAGCAGAAGTTCTTAACTTTTAGAAGAGAAAAAAAATACTACTTTTTCATTTTAATTTTGTGGATGACATGGACAACAYAGTTATCAGCTTGTTTTACCTAGTGGCCAGGATTTGCCTGACTGACAGAGCAGAGCCACTTTTGTCATCAGAAATTGTCCACCTCAACCACCACAGGAAGACCTCTGGTCTGTGCATTCAAGATAACTCAGGCATTCTCTGGACATGCTACTACTTAATCACTTCCAAAATCAGAGTGGTCTGAAAATTTATGGGGACTTCCCCAAGTTCCCTTCTTCCTTCCCCCTCTCTGTTGCCTGAGAGATGGACCAAAACAAGTCCTCACAGCAAACATCACGTGAACAAGCCCTTCTCTGGTAGCAAAGAGCTTCAGTGCAAGTAGCTGTTTCTCTGTGGCTTGTCCCCTCATGGTGCTGTGAAATGTTGCTGAATGAGACTCACTGCAACTCTCATGGTTGAGAGCATCAGGAAAGAGAGAGTCTGGGACSAGAAAACATGCTGCTGCCCACAGATAGCCTCAGGGATCCACCCAAACCACTGGCTCCCAGCCCGTGCACACTGCAGTTGCTAAAATACAAACAGTTCTGAAACTATTTCCTCTACTTCTGCAGAGGAAAAATGTAATTTAATTTAATTTTTGCTTTGCATAATAATGGCAAGGCCATTTATGAATTACATGGCTTTTCTTATCCAATTCCCTTTTCAGCTGCTCCAAAGTCTTCCAGATGTCCCAGTCAGGTCACTAGGTTGTTACAGCAGCYATGGTGCCACCAGAGAAGAAGAACCAGGCCTGAAGTTGCTAAGCAGATATTTGTAGATTGCCAGGCTAACCCACTAATTACCTTGCTTTTTATTTGGGACACTGTCTACTCTCATAAAAGCTCTATTATTACCCAGATAAAGCTCTGGAGGTTTCTCAGAAGGCAAGTCCATTCATCTAAATCAATTGAGGTAACAGCGTGGCTGTGGCTCTGCTGCTAGAGAGGAAAAGAATGAATGCAGGGAGAAAGGCTCAATAAAAAGTACAGTCCACCCCTGCAAACTCACTGAGCTTAACTGAAATTATTGGATTCCTCAACGTCCATGGACTTTATCTCAGTGCTGGTGCTCTCACTGTTGCTCACAAGTGGGTTGACACCTTGCCATTATTCCCTTGTTGTGATGCATGTGGGGTCATTTTGCAACTCTCCTGCGTCCATAAAAGGGGAGGCCAAAAGAAACACATTTTCCTACCTGTCTGATGACAAAACCAGGAGTTAAAGCCCCTCTGAATAATAACAAGTGCTGATCGAGATTTCTACAGCCCTTATGGACACCTTGAGTCACTTCTTACGTAATCCCTTGTGTGCAGATTAACAAGGTCTTCTTTATGAGAGCACATAACCCTGCAGAAGGCCAGGAGGAGAAATTAAAGCTCCTAGATTTGCACTAAAATGGTAAAACTCTGAAGAGGGGCKAGAGTTCAATCCCACCATACTGCATCATCCCTCGGTTTTAGAAACAACCTTGTGGAAACCACTGCAGCAACRAGTTGGAGTAAAACAAACATCACTCACTCAGAGGCTGAGAGAAAAGTCAAGATACATTAGTATTTGCCCCTGCAAAAGGGGAGGCCAAAATGCAAGTGACTAAAGAAATTACAACAGGAGCTATGGTTGCTCTCTGCAATGGCCAGAACAAGTGCCTGAGTGAATTTATGAGATTGTGGGGTTATTGGAAAACTATGGAAAGCAGCATTTGGCTCTTAGCCCAGACTGCAAGGGGCTTAAAAATGCAGCTGGAATTAGCTTACAGCAAGAGCAGCAGGCCCAGGATGAAGAAAGTATTATACTCAAYGAGATGTGCCTTGGGTCTGACCTGTTTTCATCACACGCCATGGGGCTTTCCGAAAATYGAAAGCATTTTCCCATGATTGAAAAGGCAGGTGGCACATCCCAGTGCATCAAAAAGTTCTTGCACATCTCTTTACTCTCTTTTGCATCATCAGACACATTTTCTGGAAGGAAGAAAAGGTGTTATCAGGGTTTCCTCATTTCGTTCCTTCTTTCTGGCTRAGCATCCCAGAGCTACAAACACAAATTATTCATTGCAACTGCACATGCTTCCAGKGCTGAAGTCTCCCTTAAAGTGTCCACCCCACAAAATATATCAAGAGCAGGATTCAAAAAGTCTTTCAGAGTATGGGTTTCAGCTGCAAACAGAAAAATTCGTCATTCCTTTATTCCAAACCCCTTCTGTACTGCTGTTTTTTAAGGTGTCCCTGCATGCTGCTGCTCCAACACCTGGAGGCAGGATGCTACCTACTAACTCCTGGAGACCTTTATCCCAGCTGCCTTCTGCTCTGAACATCTCAACATTTCCACCTCTGCTCTCTGACTGCACAAAACATCCATGACGTATTTTAAGCAATCATTTATGTCAGTATACAGCAGCTAGTGAGACYCTTGAGTCCTCACTACAATGTGAGACAACCCTTCCCTTTCTGTCCAAGCTCTCCACRACTTGACACCATCACAGAGCCCCTCTTTCGATGAATCCCAGAGAGCGTCTTTTGAAAAAAAAAAAAAACTTCCAGGATAATGTTCGAAGCTGTGTTCACTTTCTGTGCCATGAAGCTGGCACACACCACAGATTTCAGATTAGGAGCCAGCATGGGGCAGCTTGGCCCAGCATACTTGGAAACAGAAATTGTTCACACTGTGACAGGATGCAAGCAGACACAGGGGCAATTGGGAAAGCCACCACTGCATGTGGCAAGGCAGAGARAGGAGGGAAACACTGAAGAGAGCTGTACCTGGGAAGAGCTGAGGAACAAATTTGTGATATTGCAGCAGCCAGAAATGTCATCCCCTTCCCAGGACAGGGCATGCAGGCGCCGGGAGCCGGCGCTCGGCTGGGCAAACACAGATGCAGGAGCTGAATGGGAGCACAGTCAGCCCGAACTATTTTTAACTGGTGCACAGGAAGCTTTTACTTTTCATTATGAAGGGGAGACAAAGTATCCGTCAGTTGTGCTGAATTTGTTCACTGGGTGGGTGGGTGTTGAAGCATGTAAAGCCCCCAGCCCCTGTCTGTGGGASCAGCAGCTCTAATCCCCTCCAGTCTGCTCACAGCTGCACGGGTCAAAGAGTGCAACAGCTGAAAGGCACTTTTGATACATATGCTGAGGGTTGCCCCAGCTTACCCTGRGGTTTCTGTGTTGTGATTTCCATTAAAGCTGACCAGTAACATTCATTGCTGGCAACAAGCGAACACCAGCCTTTCAATATCCCCTACACTGAGCCCAGCAGGACTAAAAAAACAGTGCAGAGGCATCACAAGCAGACACTGGCAGTTGGATCTGGTGGTCCCCCACTGCCACTTTGCTCCCCAGGACGAAAATCTGTGGATTTGGCAGCAGCAGCTCCTTTACTTGCCAAGTATGTTGCTTGGGGCACTGGGGAGCAAGGGGGCTGGGAGGGAGGAGGCAGGGCTGGGACCAGGGTTCTCCACCTCCCCCTTCTTGCCCAGACAGGATTACAGCTCTGCAATTTAATTGTAAGGTGATTAATTTCCTCTTAAAATCAATTTCTGCTGTGGTCCCCAAATATATACTTGACCGGCACCRTTCTCCCCTCCCTCCCCAAAATATCATCAGCAGGAAAACACTGGCTTGCACAAGGAGAGGAGCTGTGTCACTGGCCAGATGGCCACACAGCAGCTCAAACTTTGTATGCTGGCATTTGGCCAGGTGGTGAAAGGAAAAGGCTCCCTCCATCCATCTCCCAAACAAGCCACTAGTACATCTGCTGTCATACATAAACATCGTGCCTTGGGTGAATCCACAGAGGATACAAGTGATGACACCTGTCCTGTCCATCCTGACCTACARAGATGCTTAAAATGTTCTCAGCTACCAGGGGAAACAAGCAGCCTCATGAAACGAGGTTTGGCACTAAACCAGCTGTCCAAGTTTCCCTTTTTCAAAAGTATATGCACATCCAAAACATGCACACGTAACAACAGGTTTCTCCTCTCTGCCAAATAAGCATCTATTAAAATCCTGCATTTACTACACCCACTACAATCCCACAAAGGGGCTCAGAGGCCACTAACAATGGGCATCATTGGACTTCCTTTAGGAAGGATCTCCTAGAGAGTGAACTACTTGCTGTCGCCTCCCTTGAAAGGAGAAAGAGAATTTCATACATCTTGTTCAGATGTCTGTGCTGGCATCACTGAGACAAATCCTGCCCTCATCGCTGACATGAAATGTGCCCTCAAGAGCCTATTTTTCCCCAGTTGCTACAAAGGCAGCTTAGGGTGATTAGTTTAGTAGATGTTTATGCTGTTATGTGGAGTCAGGCAAGAATAATCCCTTACAGTCTGTCATGGTCCAGGCACTGCTCTTGCTACAGGAGATGAACACAGAAGTACAAAAGCAAAGCTCTGCTCCTGAACACTTSAGCTGAAGTTAAAAAATGAAGTCTAGAGATAGCAAACCCAGGAATGCTCTGGGTGGAGGAGGACAAGATCACAAGCAATACGATTTTCAATCTATTGCTCCCGAACAAGTTGATGCCAAGCTTTGCTCAGGTCCAGTGGAAGCTAACACAGAGGTCAGTTTTAAAAACTGTTTAATATCTCCTCAGCAGTGTGGTACTTTGCTAGTGATGCTGCCCAATGAACAAGATAATCAGGGACCTGCTGCTCTGCATTCATATACATATGCTCACAAAGCACAGGGGAATGCCTTTGCCCACTYAGAAAACAAGCACCAGAGAGCAAGTAAATCCCTTACCCGGTTGTCCTCTTGAATCTCCCAGTCACTGGAGAAGCTCAACACATGCTGTGCCTGYGAGCAGTTTGAAAACTGGAAAAGGCTGGCAAACATCCTTCTGTTCTCCTGGGTATCAGGGAAAATCGCCTCCTGGAAGTTGACTCCATGTGGCAGGAGGATGTAGTTCTCATCCATTCTGGAACACAGATTGCACTGTGAGAATGARCAGCACTCTCTCTGCTGCAGAAGTCACCTGTCATACTTCAGCCTGGCTCAACAAAAAGTCACACAGACTTACAGCTGGCAAGTGGCTGTCAGCTATCCTGGCACTTAAGCCACCAAACTGACAATTTCCACCATGGGGACTGGATCAGGCAGCAGCAGTAAGGATCTAAYCACCTTGCAGACACCCATGAAATCCCATGAAGGAGGCAAATTTGTATCTGTAAACAGTTTCTACTGAATTTGCATCACTTTGCCCTTGAGCCCAGAGCTTAAGTACTCCTTCAAACAGTCAAAAAATTACTAGAGTCAATAAAATGTGTTTTAAGATGTTGCTACAGACTAAGCCCTAGACAGCATCAAAATGAGTTTTTTATGCACCCAGTGTAAGAATATACCAAGTATTTCAAAACAAGCCACTGAGTAGTATTTCGCAAATGCTGTTGAATTGAAAGGTCACGGTGATGGCTCTGTTCCCACACTGTGGTTTATTTTCTTATTCTTTCGATGTGCCCAAAGTCAGGGTTTGGCTGGGACTCGGGAGAGTCGATGGAAAGCTATCAGGTGAGTATTTGGGTACGGGTTTTAAACTCTCATGCCAAACTTCGGCAAACAGGCGCTGGCCTGTCTCCAGCTCTGTGACCGTCCCGCCGTAAAAACAAAGCGGCAGCACCCACGAGCTACTCAACAGCAGCTCCCTGTGCATCTGCTGGCCGACAATGCTGGAATATTATGGGAATTGGGTGTTTCGCGTTTCTCTTTCCTTATGAAACTGGGGGTGGAAGAGCAAAGGAGAGGGCGCTGCGGGGAGAGCGGAGGGGGACGGAGCGAATCCTCCGGGCAGGGGCGAGCGCTCATTCCCCGCCCGCGGAGATGCCCCGGAGCCGGGATGCGACATTCCACCCCGAYCCCGGACCCCCTCACCCCGGGACTCACCGGAGGAAGAAGAAATAAGCGTAGCCCTGCATGACGGTGTGCGAGTGGCAGGAGAAGTAGCCGAGGCCGGTGAGGTTGAGGCGGGAGCCGGCGGGCACCTCCAGCATGCTGCCCCACGCCTGGTCGCACAGCAGCTCGATCTCGGCCGAGTAGAAGAGGTCTCCCGCTCCCTGCTGGGGGCCGCCGGGGGGRTCCCTCTGCCAGGGCAGGTAGTTGTAGGCGCCGTAGGGGTCGGGGTGCAGCGCCAGCACCCGCGCGTACACGATGATCGCGGCCAGCTCGGCCCGGCAGCCCTCGCTGAGCGGTCTCCACTCGGCCGGCAGCTGGCAGCCTCCCCCGCCGGCCGCCCGGCCCCCCAAAACCAGCACCAGCCCCAGCACCAGCACCGGCACCGGCACCGGCACCGCTACCGGCAGCGGCAGCGGCGGCATCGCGGGCGGCTCCGGGCCGGGAGGGACGGGGAGGGACGGGGGTCAGCGGGGTTGGAGCGGGGGGCAGGACGGCCCGGAGGCGCTGCGGGATGCCCCGGAGGCTGCGGGGGACCGGGGTTAGGGGAGAGCGCAGGGAGGCAGCGAGGCGGAGATGCGAAGGGCTGGGGGAGGGAGGAGTGGAGGGTGCTGGGGCAGATGCCCCAAGGGCTGAGATCCGAGCAGACAGGGGTGCGAAGGGGCGAGGATGCAGAGGGTCGAGGGGCAGGGGGTGTACGGGGGCAGAGATGCGAGAGGCAGAGATGCAAAGGGGAGGGATGAGAAAAGGCAGGGATGCGAAGGGGGCAGAGAGGSAAAGGGGAGGGATGTAAGTGAGAGAGGTGCAAAGGGGGAGGTGAAAAGGGAGGGATACAAAGGGGAGGGATGCAAAGGCAGAATTGCAAAGAGGAGGAATGCAAAGGGAAGAGGTGGATAGGAGGGAGACTGCAAAGGGGAAAGTTGTAAAAGAGCARAGATGGGAAAGGCAGGGACACTCCTGGGTGAGGGCAGCGACTGCCAGGCAGTCCCTTGCACCGGAGTGGGCACTGATGACACGCAGGGCTGTGGGAGGTGAAGGTGTGGCTTGTAGGATATTGGAAGTTGAAGGGTCTCAGTGGAGCAGGGGGCTGTGCAGAGCTCCCGCTGCGAAAGAAAGTCGTGTGAAACTTCAGATGTGTGCGTGTAGAAACTTATAACCCTGGTCACACACTTCTCCCACTTCAAATGAGGCTGGAGAAAAATCTGCAAGTGGAGGAAAATAGCTCTTCCTAGCAGCCTGCAATAGTTTTCCAAAATACATATGGTGAGCAAGGTATAAGTAAAAAGCCGGATCTCAATATATTTTGACTTCCCACTGTTTCATCCTAGGACTGTCTGATGCAGCTTAGGGCTTCTCCAGCTTTTTGGCAGATGGCTCCAAGACTGACCCTCTCCCCAYATACAAACTGCTGTGGAGCTTCTCCCAAGGATCCCTTGGGGCTTTGCACCACTCACAGCCTCAAACAGCCCCTTTCTATTTCAGTATTCTCCTTTTCCCACATCTGATCTCACTTGGGATAAGAGTGAGGAATGGGCATGGGATGCTTAAAATCTTCTGAGGCTTTTTTTTAATATGAATATCATGGAGACATAGTCCCAGTTAAATCTCTCCCTACTGTGATGGTTATTCAAATTTTGATGCATATCCTGACTGGTTCCTTTAATCTGACCCTCCATTTGTCTCCCTCTGCCTCCACAAGGACTAGGAGCTCTTGGAAGCAGAAGATGCCTCTTTATTCCATGTTCATGCTGTACCTGGTATAGGAGGGTCCTTGTGCATTACTGGGGTTCAAAATAATGTGTGAAATAATGAATCATCAGTTAAATACTGTTGAGTCAACTTCATAGCATAGTCACAAAACATCTTCAGTGACAAGTGCCTTCCTCTGGAATAGTTTAATCAGCTTCATCTGTGTGCTGAAGAGTTTAACAAGTAATGCCCACATTTCATGATGGCATAGATCATATATTTCATCATATCCTTCCATAYGGAAGGAGAGCAATGCTGGTTCTTGCTAAAAGAGAAACAGATTTTTATTTTTTCCAAAAACAAAAATTTCAGAGTTACAGAGTTTTTCTACATTTTTCCCTCTGTCTCTCAAAGATCAACAAATTGCTTTCAAATTTCAGAAAAAAAAAAAAAATGCTTAAAAGAGAATTCTGAATTTTTAAAGAAAATATCCTCAAGAAATCCCAAAAGATCAACCAGCTCAGTGTTTCTTTAATGTTAACATTATAAAAAAAACTTCCTTTTGCTGTGGAACCTGAAGGGACAAAACTGTGGTAGAGAAGGTTTCAGAGCTCATTCAGTAGGTTTTAGATACATGAATAAAAAATAAAGAGTAAAACAAAGAAGTTAGGCAGATGTTGACTTCAGACAAAGCTGGAGCAGTTCTGAGGGTATTTTGTGCAATCCAGTGTAAAGGGAGGCTTTGGGTATGAACCTCAGGTTTCTGTTGAAAAAYGGTACCTTGAGATGCTGGCAAAGAATAGAGAGAAGTGCTGCAAGTGATGGGAGAGATGTTCAGCCCATCCAAGGTGGTCTCTCCGTGTCTGTCCAAGGGGTGTGACCATGTCAGAGCCTGGCAGCTTCACCCACACAAATCTTGTGTTCAGTGTGGGYAGCAACATGCAAGTGTTTTATTGCTTCAATGCCACTACTGAGGGGGCAGAGCCCCAAGAAGCTGACGAGATGTTTGTAACCAAAGGTTGGTTGGTTGGTTGGTTTTGCCCTCGGAACCAGTGTGAAATGCAATTGCTATTTCCTCCTATATACATACAAGATTAATATCCTCTGGGTAGAAAAGACTCACATTTAGCCTTCATCTCTGCTTACTGTGTGTTGCAAGTAAATAATGGTCAGCTGTCCTCAGCCACTTTGGAAATAYCTGATCTAAGCTGTGATCTGTTCTGCTGCTCTGCACATTTCGTTAGCCACCACATAACATAACATAATTTATCTGGGAGGGAGGACAGGGCGAGAAAGGACAGGCAGCTCACAAGCAAAATATGGATGTCTTTTCTTAGTGCTACTATTAATAGCCTTAACTGCGTATATTTGACCAGAGTGTTTGAATCAGTGAGCCAGCTCACAAAACACAGCAGCATTTGCTGGCATATGTTGGTGCTGGCTGATGCTCTCCAATTTGCTTTTTGATGGTGATTACCAGAGTGTGGAAGCAAATAATTAATGTTCTGTGGAATTTCTCTGTCATTCTGCAGAGTGGTTGTGTCAGCATTTTGAGGATGCAACAGGAGCCCATAGAGCTGACTTCAGAGCTGCATGAGGTGAAAGGGGTCTTAGCCATAATTCTGGAGCAGACATACTAGGTGTGCAAGTCTGCTCATAAAAATACCTCTCACCTGGAAGTGTCTGATTTCCTTGTTCCCTTCCATTTGTGTTTGCTGGTGCTGTGCCCACTGTCACTGTAACAGTGGCTCATCTTTTCCTGTGCCCTCTGTGGGATGTCCTCAGCTGAGAACTCTCCCTGTCAGGAGTCTCTTTGGAGATTGATCAGTGTGTAACCTTTCCTTCCCATCCCTGATGGGAAGGAACAAGCTGATCCCTTTGCTGTCTGAATTCATTAGCAACTCTCAGGTGAGTGTTTTGGTAAAGAATTCAAACCACCTACTTTCAAGGATTAATGTGATTTTGCTCTTAAATTTCTCTCTACAGAAGCATCATCAATTTTCTTCTCCCTTCCTTCATTTCTGAGGTGGTGAAAAGTAACAGGAGCATCTGAATCCATTCCAGGAGTCCTTTCTCTTCCAGCTCTAGATAACAAGGAATTAGTGACATGAAGTAAGGATTTAAAGCCCTCCCTGGAGACTGCATCCTTCAGATCTGTGTTTGCTGTTTCTCTGCAGGGCTCTGCTGGCTGATCTGAGATGTTCTTCAGTGCAGTGTGAATACTTTTGTRCTGTGAACTCAGCGTGGGTCTGACAAGTGCTGTAGCCAAAACCAGCTAATCAGAGGAGCACCAATAGAGCCAATTACTGCTCAGGCTGCACTTTCAGCCACTCATGCATGTGCTACWGTTATTCATTCACTTCCTCTGCATAGATAGTCTTGTAGACTTTGAGACAGGCTCATGATTTTCCCAGGCAGGAGTTCTTCCTTTTCTTTCTCATATTTTTACAGATATTTAAACCAAAGGTTTCTCCCTCTGGGTTATGTCATTTTCTTTGCTGTTTCTGTGGCAATGTGGGTGATTTAAAACTTTTAATAAAACATAGCTCTGCTCTGTCTCTCTTTGCCTTTAAAGTGTTGACTGAGTTGAGCCTTAGTCCAGGTATCAAACAGGAGAGCACTGAGTTCAGTCTGGCTGCCTTTCTGATGGCTGAAGGTGATCTGAAACCTCAGCCCAGCTGTCTTTTATTTATATATCTGCAGTGATTCCTTTGTAGTCCAGGSTACAAAATATCAAACCCAGATTTCTTTCCTCCTGCCCACCCTTCTTTAAACTGGGTGACCTATAAAGATGAATATTTGGCTTTACTACTGCCCCCACAGGAATAGATGTTTTTGCTTGGTTCTTCTGTCTATGCTGCTCTAAGTCACTCTTCTTATAGTTTGACATTTGGTCCATTGTATTTAACTGTTTTTGTACCAATGACTGGGCTGGGTGATTCCTGTTATAACAAAGAAATCACATTCCCTGGCCATAGTTCTTGATGGTTTTTTTCTTTTGAAGAATAATCATGACCATGAAGAAACAGGACCACCTGTCTTTGGGGATCAGCTGGGAATCACTGTTGTCTCAAAGAGTTTGGAAAGATTTACTTTATGCACAGCAATGAAAAGACTTTCTGTAATACCAGTCAAAATTAGAATGGAAAAGTGAGTAGAAGGATCGAATAGTTGGTATAAATGGAGATCTTTGCCAACATATTCACTGTATCTTTTTGCCCTTTCTTGTCCCCTCTGTCCTTTACCCTTTCCCCTGCCCATCATCACAGAATCATAGAATGGCTTGGGTTGGAAGGGACCTTAAAGTTTCCCTAGATCCAACCCCTCAGTCAGGGGCAGGGACATCTTCCACTGGATCAGGTTGCTCAAAGCCCTGTGCAGCCTGGCCTCGAACATATCCAGGGCACCCACAGCTTCTTTGGGCAACCTGTGCCAGGGCCTCACCACCTCCCAGTAAAGAATTTCTTCCTAATGTCTAATACAAATCTACTCTCTTTAAGTCTGAAGCCAAACCCCTTTCTCCATTCTGCCCTCACTGTGGCCACTGAGTCCTGCTCTCCTATCCCTCTGCCCTGAGCTCTGACAAACCTCACCAATTCAAATGCAGCTCCTTTTGGACCTGGACCTCTGTCCTGTTAGCTGTGTTCTCCTRCTGAAACTCCCATCTTAACCTGGCTCCCTGACATCTGGGGACATCTGGTCCTCATCTCAGACTCATCCTGGCTGAGGGGCAACCGTTTTATCCATCACTTAGACTTGCAACCTGGAAGACACTCTCACTTTAGACTTCCCCCTCTATTCTAAAGCTCGTGTAGACACTTTCCCTGTAGCTTCTCCCACACACATCTTTCCTGGCATTCACACAACAAAGACGCTCTTTTGCCTCATGCCTGCAGCATCTTTTCCTGGGCAAATCCAGCCTTRGCCCACCACTGCCTACCCAATTTATTGCTACACCCAGTCCTTTTCMAGCTCATCATGACTGAGCATGTTTACCTCCCATTTTTTCCCTGGCTTCCCTTGGCTACCTACCTCCACCCTCTTCTGTTTACAGAAGAGCTCTGAGGCAAGGACTTCCTCTGCTCCGTGTTTCTGCAGCATCTGTTTTGTGAGCCATGACTGCAGGTCCAAGAACAAGAATAGTAACAACATGCAAGCTGATTCCAGCCCAAGTCAGCAGAGGCCAGAAGTTACTGCACTCACAAGTCTGTTCATAAATCAATGTGAAATGTGCTGTCTGAGCGTAGCTCCCAGTAGACACCCATCTGCATAACACTGACACTA